ACAATTTAATATAATATATATTTAATAATCCCAGAAATGTTCCACAGTGTAATCAGCAAAATTGTTGTGCATGGCCCAATAAAGGCTCTGTGTTAGTGTGACCAATTTCCGGCAGATGAACAGAATCAATAAAATGTCTCAAAATTAATTAAACTTTTGTATAATGTTTGTCATTATAGAAACAGTTTTTTTAATTTTTTTGAATTATAGCTCTTTACAATTATTTTAAGTAGCCCTAAAATGCATTCATCAACGAGGAAATCATTTTTCAGGCACAGCATATGCTACATCTTTATATATAAAAATCACGTGTCACGTTGTTTGTCCACGATGGACTGCTAAACTACTGAACCGATTTTAGTAAAATTTATCACACTGTATCCAGATCGAGCCAACTTAGAAGATAGAATGACGAAAAACATTCATAAATAAAAAATACAGTGATTGCACTATTAAGCGGACAACCCTATTAACTGGACAGAAAGACTGGTAACCAGACATTGGGAAAGCAGCCTTATTCATTATTTTTTCCACTACAATTATTTGGATTCCTATACCGACAAAAATTGTTTCGCCTACATTCGTAAATAAAGTTTCCACTGTATTGAATAGCTTATGACATGAATAATATTATAAAATGTATACCACAGCAACGCCTTTATAGTCAGTATTGTGAGAATTATCTCAAATTTATAAACCGTTTGCTAGTTCTTTTTTCATTGGCGTGAATCTACTGAATCACTTTTTCTTTCCGAACATTTATTGCAATTTTTACTTATGCTTAAATTGCATTTTGATGCTGTTGATGGAATAACTCAAGTCCCTTAATTGTATAAAATTGTCAGCGACTCACTGCTCAAAGGAAAACCCCATATGAAGTTTATAAAACAAAGAATTGGAGTTATTGTGTCGTAAAGCTGGTCTCCGAAGAAACCACATATGTCGCCAGAACAGAAATTATATATATTTTAATTTCTTTTCTTCTGAAAAGTTGTCGGAAGAAAATTAATTGGTGAATATCTGGTTAAAGTTCGGTGATCAAAAAATGTTCTTAAACAGAAACAGTTGACATTTGATGACATAACTAGAAGTTCACCTTTATTTACACTTACGTCATTCACGTTCAAACAACTATTAAAACTTAGTGTTTGCTTTATTGATAAAGTCTCTGGTAAACATATTTAATTAGCCTTTCTTATTTGTATTTATTTATCATTTACAAATTTGCATAGTTTTACACAAAAAAAGACATTTCCCAAGTGAGCGCGTTATTTGTCATTTCAATTATATACGTCTGTATATATATGTATGCTATATATATATATGTATGCAAATCTAGAAGACAGCGAAAATAAGAAAACAAATATTTGAATGAAGTTTATTAATAGCAGCATGTATATATATACATATATACTAAAGGTATATATATAAAGGTATATATGTTGATTTGAAATACACAATGACTATTTTTTTAAGAATAATAGCAATGACAACAATCACTAATTATGAATCATCTCACTTTAACTGGCGCAAGCGTCAGTAAGAGCATTACATAATGCCGCCTTCGGGCAACGGTGAATAACGACAATGGCTAAAGCGCAAACGTGTGAAGTAAAAACACAAATGTAGGTGTGTGCGTTTGTAAAAGTATGTTTATTGAAATATCAACAATTAAAAAATAGGCTAGTATTTAGCACGCAAGCCAACCGTAAAAGTTGACGACTTCAATAATTAGAGCCGGCGGCTACTTTGAAGTAATACTAGCTTATAATACAATATAATTAAATTAAAAGTTAAAACACTATTTGTTATATATGTTGGTTGTGAAATTTCGAGCTGCGACCGCCAAGATCAAGACAGAAAATATCGATCAATATCTGAAATATATAATTGAAATTCGAACAAAATCCTTTGCTGACAAGAGTTATTCTGTGTTTGAAACCTAATATAAAGATTTTCGAGCTTCCGAGTGTCGTTATAAATATTAGAATCGGCCATCATGTGAGTTAACTCAATGAAAATCGGAGAGTGTATTTCTGTGCTTAAAATGGATAGAATTTGGCGAAAACCTAACCTAATCAAATACATATAACTAATGCCAGGATTTTCAAACATCCGGCTGACTTTACTTGTAAAATTGGCAAAAAATGTATTAAATCCGGTTAACACTACATCTTTTATACCTAATATAAGATTTTGACGTTTTGCTACTTAAGGTATTTCCCTGGCTTTGGTCCAAGCAAATTGAAAAAGTGTGAAAAATTAGTTTACCTCCGAACACAGCCTCTCCTTATTTGCTTATTTTGAACTGCTTTAAGAAGGACTTTTTGTTTCTGAACCCTTGTGACTGGAAAAAGATGACGAAATGTAATTTGCTGTTCCTCAGTGGTTTTCGAGGTTAAAAAAAAGAAGAAATCCCCCTAATTTCGAACAAACATAGCAAAAATTGGCATACTATCAGTAAAATAAAAATAAAAGTGATTGCGCTGAGTCAAACATTGCTCAAGAGTACATTTTTAATTTTGGTTGCATTCGGCGAATCCCACGGAAGAAAGTGTTCTCAGAATTCAATCGATAAAACACAAGCAAATTGGCAGCGCCTTTCAAAACAACTATTTGCTATGAAATAAACTTAAATCTATATAAGCACGTTTGTGTAACTGCAGTTATATATTTTGGCATCTTTGCACAGTTTCGCCCGAGCCTCGCAGAATCCACTTTCAATGACCTCTGCTTTCGGAAAGCTCTGCGCTCTATGCAGTACCTATTTATGGTGTGTATATAATGTATGTATGTACGGAATGCGAGCGAAGCTGAAAAGAGCTTTTCATCTCATACACCACTACACACACACATACACATACAGAAAATGTGAAACGAAGAGGTATGAAAAATATGCAGACTCATGCTTTCCACAGCACGTGCCACGGCTGAAAGTTCTTTTGCCGTAACAGCGGAACTGTTTATGTTTGTTTGTGTGGTAAATACTTATATATAATATAAGAAGTCTTGTTTAGGAAAAAGGACAATAGCTTCGGGAGGGCGTGTGCGTGTATCTACTTAAGCTCTAGCGATGCGCAAAAAACTGCATACTGGTGTGTAAATATTGTTGTTGTGAGTAAGCTTTATTGTCAGTACTGCAAAATTACAGCAGCTCTTGCATGCTCGCACATACATAAGTGACAATAGGTGAAGGTCATGAGTCAGAGGGTGGGAGTTTCGTATATGTATATGTGTACGTCAGGTTACAAAGGAAATATTGAAAGAAAACTTTTGCAGAAAGAAAACAAAAAAATACTAATATTTCGAATTCCCTGGAATTCATGTAATTTGGATTAGTTTTGTGCGTGAACATGGTTTAATTGCACCACAAGTTATGCACATTTATATGAATTTCTACCAAAGAATAAACATTCTCAGTGCACTATATGTGGTTATATTCGATTCTTATTTTGAAGAGACTGAGTCATAAGCAAAACGGTGAAGGAGGTAGGTATACACTTGTGTTTAGTGGTGAAACTGCAGAATCGGGAGTCGATTCTGTTTAACCCTAATGGTCCCAGAACCGTACCGTTAATCCACAGTTATAATTCTTCGAATCTCAAATTTAACAAAAAACTATTCATTTTTGTATTTCTGATTTGAAAAAGTAGAATATAAATATAATGATATATTTGTATACGCAAAGCTTATACCAAAAGCTGGTAACCAAAATCTCTTGAGTAAAACTGGCGTATCTACAAAATCCGCTTATAATAGTTTTTATGATTTCTTCCGCTGGTAGAAATTTTGGCGTCACTATTGGCAAAGAGCCAGACAATTTTTGTTTTATCTTCTGTAAACAAAAATACTCTGCGCGCTTGTCGTCGAAGCAAAAGCATATGTTTACATTCGAATAGATATATGTACACGCTTTATATTACATTGTGTATGTATGTAGCTACGCATATTGTATTTACTCATATGAATGCATATACAAATGTAATTTTATTAGTGTGTAGCTTCGTTTGCTTATGATATAATATGCGGGAGATTTCAACAAGTAGTTGATTCTTTTTATGCTTGTCGGCATATTTTTGTAATGTAGTGTATTCATTTCATTTTTCTCTTCAATTCTAAATACAATAGCATAAATAGAATTTTTGAATCACTAAAAATATGAATCGGTAGATATTTATGTACTCGGGTGTTTATAGTTTGATTTTGCGGATTTCACAAGTTTCCGTCAATTCCGTCATACCCGCAATATAAAATATTTTTTAACAATTACTTTTATTTCAAGGCATTTGCCTTTATT